GGTGACTTTTAATTGCAATTATGTTATTGTCAATGAAAAAAAAAGATGTTCATCTTTTCATATGTTTCATAACCTCTAGTGACTTTTTTGGAAAATGTTTGATGATATTTTTCTTTACTATTTCCCATATTTTATAGCAATTTTAGTTTTCCAGAAAAATTGTACAGAAAGTATGGAGGGCTCCCTGCCCAACATGTGCACAGTTTCTCCTATCATTAACCCCTTGTATTAGTACAGCATATTTGTTCCAAATGATGAAAGAATACTCATATATTATTCAGTCCATATTTTACATTAGAGTTCACTTTTTATGTTGTAAATTTCCAAAGGTTTGGCAAATGCATAATATTATGATCCAACATTATCATATCATATAGAATAGTTTCATTGGCCTAAAAAATGCCTTGTGTCAGACCTATTCATCAATCCCTTCTCCCCACTGAGCCCCAAGAAACAACTGATCTTTTCATTGTCCATTGTTTTGCCTTTTCCACAAAGTTATAAAGTTAAAATTATACAATCTGAAGCTTTTGTAGGCTGCCTTCTTTTATTTACACATTCAAATTTCCTTTCTTTCTTTTTGTAGATTGATAGCTCACTTTTTTTTTATTGATTGATGTGGTTTGGATTTGTGTTTCTGCCCAAATCTCATGTCAAATTGGAGGAGGGGCCTGGTGGGGGATGATTGGATTATGAGGGTGGATTTCCCCCTTTCTGGTCTCAAGATAGTGAGTTATGAGATCTGATGGTTTAGAAGTGTGTGGTACTTACACCTGTGCGCTCTCTCTCTCTGTCTCTCCTGTTGCCATGAGAAGATATGCTTTGTTTCCCCTTTGCCTTCTGCCACGATTGTAAGTTTCCTAAGGCCTCCCAGTTATGCTTCCTCTAAAGCCTGTTGAACTGTGAGTGAATTTATCCTATTTTCTTCACGAATTACCCAGTTTCAGATAGTTCTTTACAGCATCCTGAGAATGGATTAATACATTGATGACTAATATTCCATTGTATGAATGTACCACAGTTCAGTTATTTGTTTACCTATTAAGGACATCTTAAATGCTTCCATTTTTTTACATTCAAATGCAGGGGTTTTTTTTGTGGATATGTTTCCAATTAATTTAGGTAAATATCTGGGAGCATGATGGCTTAATCATACAATAAATCTATTTTTGCTTTATAAAAAACTTTAACTCTGTCTTCCAACATAGCTGTACCAGTTTACATCACCACCAGCAATGAAAGAAAATTCCTGTTATCTCTTTCTTGCCAGCATTTGGTGTTGTTTTTGTTAATTTTTAAGAGCTTTTTATATACATCAGACATTTGCCTGTGTCTGTGTCTGACTTAGAAATTCTTCCAATTTATCTTTTGTTTTTGAACTTCACTTAAAATAAGTTTTGGTGATGTAGTTTTAAAAATATTTTATTATTTGTTCCTTTTATATCTTCTTTGTTTTAACATTTATTTTAGGTTCAGAGGTACATGTGTAGGTTTGTTATATAGGTAAATTGCATGCTACGCAGGTTGGGTGTATAGACTTATTGTCACTCAGGTATTAATCATAGTCACTTATAGGTAGCTTTGTATCTTCACCCTACTCTCACCCTCCATCCACAAGTAGACCCCAGTGTCTCTTGTTCCCTTCTTTGTGTCCATATGTATCCAATGCTTAGCTCCCACTTAAAAGGGAGAACATGTGGTATTTGATTTTCTGTTCCATATTATTCAAAATCACTAATTATTAGAGAAATACAAATCAAAACTGCAATGAGATACCATCTCACACTAGTTAGAATGGCTATTGTTAACAAGTAAAAAATAACAGATACTGACAAGGTGGTGAAGAAAAGGGAACACTTATATGTTACTGGTGGAATTGTAAATTAGTTCTGCCATTGTAGACAGTAGTCTGGTGATTTATCAGAGAATGTAAAACAAAATGACCATTCAGCCCATTAATTGTATTAGTGGGTATAAACCCAGAGCAATAAAAATCCTTCCACCATTTGTTTTTAAACTATCATTTGGGGCATCTGGGTCATAATTAGTGTTATAGTTTCGTTGTGTCCCCATCCAAATCTCTTCTTGAATTATAGTTCCTATCATCCCCAAATGTCGTGGAAGGGACCCAGTGAGAGGTAATTGAATTATGAGGATGGTTACCTCCATACTGTTCTCACAGTGAGTGAGTTCTCCCAAGATCTGATGGTTTTATAAAGTGCTTTTCTCCCTCTTTGCTTGGCACTTCTTCTTGCTGCTGCCATGTGAAGAAGCATGTGTTTGCTTCCCCTTCTGCTATGATTTTAAGTTTCTGAAGGCCTCTCCAGCCATCTAGAACTGCGAGTCAATTAAACCTCTTTCCTTTATAAATTACCCAATCTTGAGTATGTCCTTATTAACAGTGTGAGAATGGACTACTACAGTAAACAGGTACCAGGTAAGGGGCACTGCTGTAAACATACCCCAGAATGGGGAAGCAACTTTGGAATTTGGTAACGGGTAGAGGTTGGACTTGTTTGGAGGGCTCAGAAGAAAACAGAAAAATGTTGGAAACTTTGGAACTTCCTAGAGACTTGAAGGGCTCAGAAAACAGGAAGATGTGGGAAACTGAAACTTCCAAGAGTCTTGTTGAACAGCTTTGAACAAAATGCTGATAGTGATATGAATGATAAAGTCCATGCTGACATGGTCTTAAATGGAGATGAGGAACTTGTTGGGATCTGGAGGAAAGGTCACTGTTGCTATGCAAAGAGTTGGGTGACATTTTGCCCCTACCCTAGAGATCTGTGGAACTTTGAACTTGAGAAAGATAATTTAGGGTATCTGGTGGAAGAAATTTCTAAGTGGCAAAGTGTTCAAGAAGAAGCAGAACATAAAAGTTTGAAAAATTTGCAGCCTGATGATGCAGTAGAAAAGAAACCCATATTCTGGGGAGAAATTCAAGCCAGCTGCAGAAATTTACATAAGTAATGAGAAGCCTAATGTTAATTGCCAAGATAATGGGGAAAATGTCTCCAGGGCTTGTCAGAGAACTTTGGGGCAGCCCCTCCATCACAAGCCAGGAGGCCTAAGAGGCAGTACTGATTTTGTGGGCTGGGCCCAGGGACTCCTGCTGTGTGTAGCCTAGATTCCCAGCCACTCCAGCCATTTTTAAAAGAGGCCATGGTACAGCTTGGGCCATGGCTTTAGAGGTTGCAAGCCCTAAGCCTTGGCAGCTTCTGTGTGGTGTTGAACCTGCAGATGCATGAAAGTCAAGAATAGAGGTTTGGGAACCTCTACCTAGATTTCAGAACATGTATGGAACTGCCTGGATTTCTAAGCAGAAGCTTGCTGCAGGGATGGGGCCCTTATGCAGAATCTCTGCTAGGACAGTGTGGAAGGGAAATGTGGGGTTGGAACCCCCACACAGAGTCTCACTGGGGCACTGCCTAGTGTGGCTGTTAGAAGATGCTGACCATCCTCTATACCCCAGAATGGTAGACCCACCAACACTTTGCTTTGTGTGCCTGAAAAAGCTGCAGACACAATGCCAGCCCATAAAAGCCACCTGAAGGGAAGCTGTACCCTGCAAAGCCACAGTGGTAGAGCTGTCCAAGGCCATGGGAGCCCACCTCTTGCATCTGTGTGACCTGGGAGTGAGACATGGAGCCAAAGGAGGTCATTTTGGAGCAGTAAGTTTTAACGACTGCCCTATTAGATTTGAGGCTTGCATGGGGCCTGTAGCCCCTTTGTTTTGGCCAATTTCTCCCATTTGGAATGGGTGTTTAACCCAATGCCTGTCCTCCCCATTGTACCTAGGAAGCAACTTACTTGCTTTGATTTTACCAGCTCTTATGCAGAAGGGACTTACTTTGTCTCAGATGAGACTTTGGACTTGGAATTTTCAGTTAATGCTGAAATGAGTTAAGACTTTGGGGTCCTGGTGGGAAGGCATAATTGTGTTTTGAAATGTGAGGACATGAGATTTGAGAGGGGCCAGGGATGGAATGATATGGTTTGGCTGTGTCCCCACCCAAATCTCATCTTGAACTGCAGTTCCCATAATCCCCATGTGTCATGGCAGGGACCCAGTGGGAGGTAATTGTATCATGGATATGGTTACGTCCATGCTCTTCTCATGAAAGTGAATGAGTTCTCATGAGTTCTGATGGTTTTAAAAGGGGCTCTTCCCTTCCTTCACTCTGCACTTCTCCTTGCTGCTGCCATGTAAAGAAAGATGTGTTGGTTTCCTTTTCTGCCATAATTGTAAGTTTCCTGAGGTCTCCCCAGATCTGAAAAACTGAGTCAATTAAACCTCTTTCCTTTATAAATTACCCAGTCTTGGGTATGTCTTTATTAGCAGTGTGAGAATTGACTAATACACTTAGAAACACATTTTGTTTCCTCCTAGATAATTAAAAGAAATCCTATATGAGTAGTTGTAATACTTATAGTTTCACATGTAAAATTTGTGTATTTGGTCAATATATAAATTTCAAATTAGAGTTTCTATAATAGGTAAGGTACAATTGTAGCAGCTTCTTTTCTTCCAGATGATTACCCAGTTATCTTAATGTCACTAAGAGAATACCTTTGCCTATGAAGAGTATTGAAACATTTTTTTTCCATATTTTTCTCAATGACCATATAACCAGAAGCCCAGCTGGTCATTCTGTGTCTTCCTAGAGAAGCCAGAGGAGGAGAATTTTGTAATAAAAAGGGATTAAAATACAAATCCTAACTGTATTTCTTTTAGTTGTGCTATTTTGGACAAGTTATTCATTATTCTTAAAACTTGTATTCTTCATAAAGAAGAAGGAGAAAATAACAATTTTCTATAGTTTCTATGATTATTAAAATGAGATATCAGAATGCCTGACACAATACTAAATACAAAGCAAGTGTTCACTATATGGTAGCTATCATTATTAATATTATAATCACACTAAAGTGATAGACTTTAGAAATTAACATAGTCAAAGAAAAAAATCTATTAATAAAATATATTTATGACAACTTACCCCAAAAATGTGGAATTATATATCCTACAAGCTCCTCGTGCTCCACAGCTGGTGGTGGACCACTTCATACACGTTGTATCAATCAGAGCCCCAAAATATATTGGAACTAGAATACCTCCTGTAACACGAGATAAGAAGATATCAATCCAAGTGAAATGCTTCAAATGTAACTGGGTGATATTCTACACTGACACATTTTGAGTTAAAAAAAGTTTAATACTTTGGAAAGTTATTCCATTGTTTTGACTTACATCTACCCAAGAATCAAAATTGCTAGGAATCTCTAAGGCCTAAATCATATGGTAATGTCATATACATACCTGATCTACTATTCTCTCCCTATACTCATAGGGAAGAAGGGGCATTATATACCTATATACTCTGTTCTTCCTATAACGTCAATTAACTTAAACTTGATTGGTAAAAGGGGAATGTTATTAGTAAAACATGAAAATCATGTTGATTCATATAAAATTTGTCTTAGGCAAGAAAGACTGGATTACTGGGAATAAAATTACAACTTTATGGGAAAAGGAAAAAGCTCTCACCTCAACTGCTGCAAAGTCAAAGATTTTTAATACTATTTTAAGAAAATTAAAAAGTGAATGCTTACATCAGGATTCCCTCCCCAGAGACGTTCAGGCCCAGCTTCAAAGAGTGCTCAGCTACTGGCCAGTTTTACTTATTTCTGGGCTCAGAGTACCATTTCCTCCTAGTTGGTGCTCTTAAAGCCCACAATCCAGCATTTTCTTTCCATTGATTTAATGCTTTTCTTAATATCTCCTAAAGCAGCCTAGGCTGTATAGGTTAGGGTCGCTGATAAATTTTGCTTCTGTTAGTGATCTTACCACAATAGCGCATACATTTCAATGGTCAGTCCCTAAGGCAATTTTTATTAGTAGTGCATGATTTCACGGAAGGTACAGCATTCCAGGAATACAATTGTTTATATGACAAGTATACATTCTGAGATTAACTCCTAGTTTTAAGCATAGGTAATTTGGTCAAAATTCTGAAGGACATCATAGTACGGAGTTATCCTTCAGATGTTAGAACTGAAGCATACAAGATTTTACTTTGTTCTTGTTCTTTTTTGTGGTTCATACTTTTCAGATTTTAAAACATGACAACGATTTGTATAAGACAGTTTACTGATTCTGCTTATTTTTAAACATTCTCAATTTTCTGAGAGTAAGAAACATTAGAATCACAAGGGAATGGTGCCTGAGGCCAATGTATCTGAGGCAATCTAGTACTGACAAAATGGGTGAGAAATTTGCAGATTTCAAAAACTCAGAAGCACCTTTGAAAAATGAAAAATAAATGCCAATAATTTATTTTCTTCACATTATGCCACTGGTTTAAATAAACTTTGTGAAGTAAATGTGTTAACTAACAAACTAGGACTTAATTACTGGAATTAAAAACCTCTGATGACCTATTTTCTAAATAATCTTTTCAGTTTAATACACTATATATTATAATAGACTTTCCACAGTTTACACACATATCGTATTTAAGACGACTGTTTGTGAATTGGAAGTTTGATACTAAGTATGGATTTTTCCCATAGAGGCATTTGAGCTTCATTGTGGCATATAGTGGACACACTGAAATTGGATGCTCACAATTAGGATGGCCAGATTCATTTTTTTCTATTTTATGTTGCTAAAATAATTTCCATTTTCATAGTCTCATTTCAACATATCAGAAGAAATACTAACTACCCAGAACTATTTTCAGCCTCTGTGTTCCAAGTTCAAAGAGTGAGGTATCTTCTCTGAATGTGAAGGTAGAGAACTGCCAAGATTACAGAGACTGGAAGATTAGGGACACAGAAAGGGAATACTGGGAAGAGAACTGATGTAACCCTGCAGCATCTCCCATCTTCTCTCTCCTATTCCCTTTGCATTTCTTTTTACCTTTCAGGATCTGTGACTTTCTCACCAAATACACTTCATGACAACTCGATTGTAATTTGGCCATACTTTTTCCTTTGCTTGCATGGGTCCCAGAAACTGAATCCTCCCGCTTCCTTTTCTTTTTGCCATCAGTGGTTACCTATGGGTCATAATCAGTCGTCTGCACCAATCCCTAGATAAATGATGGCCTTTTCCTACTTCCCAGGAATAGGCATATAAGATTTACAGTTCTTACGAAAGAACACTCATGGGGGTGAGGCTAGACATTGTTTAACAACAGGCATCTGTGCAGTAAAAAAGGCAAATGGTAACAAGGGAGAAAGGGTAATTTTCTAATTCTTTTCTAATCAACTTTGAATATTTAAAATATAGGCCTCTAAAAGGTAGCAGATAGGAGGCAGGACTAGCTTGCAGCCCACTTGGACAAACAGAGCAGCATGTGGACTCACATTGTGAACTTTTTCTCCAAGAATTACCATAGCAACATACTGGGAAAGCTGAGAGAGTCCACAAACCTTTGAAGAAAGTATATCACCAGCTGCAGGCTCCCTTAGATGACAAAAAAAAACTGAGTCAGCTTCCTTTCTCAGCACGGAGGCTGGAGGTCAGGGGCAAGTTCTCAGCCTTGGTCACCAAATACCTGGTAATAGACTCAGTGCTGTTGGGGGTCACAGTGGCAGTGAGACCAGCCTGTAGGACTGCATGCTAGATAGGAGCAGGGTAACGCCTGTTACTGCTATTTCCCCCGCACCTGCTCCTGGCCCGCTGCCACTTCCTTTGAGATCTGTGTGACTTAGCAGAGGCAGCCATCATTCCCTTGGGAACATAACTTCATTGGCCTGGGAACCACACCCCCATCCCACACAGCAGCCACAGCAAGCCCCACCCAAGGAGAGTTTGAGCTCAGACATGCCTATCTCTGACCCACCTAATGATCTTTCTCTACCTGCCCTGGTTACTGATGACAAGAACATAAGCTCTTAGCAGCTCTAAGGCCCTGCCCACCAACCGAGAAACCTGAATACTTAACAGGATGACCCTAGGGCAAGTTTGCTTCCTCTCTATAGTACTGCAGCTGATATAACCTTGAAAGCACCACCTCCTGGCTGGAGGCCAACCAACACAAAACCAGTGAACTAAATGAAAATACAACCAAGGACCCTCACACAGTCCACTTCACTCTCCTGCTACCTCTGCCAGAGCAAATGCTGGTATCCATGGCTGAAAGACCTGAAGATGGATCACATCACAGGACTCTTTGCAGAAACTCCCCAGTACCAATCCAGAGCCCAGTAGCTCCACTGGGTGGCTAGACCCAGAAGAGTAAAAACAATCACTGCAGTTCAACTATCAGGAAGCCCCACCCCTAGGGCAATGCGAAGAATGCCACATCAAAGGAGCACCCTATGGAACAAAAAAATCTGAACAGCAGCCCTTGAGCCCCAGATCTTCCCTCTGTCATAATCCACACAACGAGCAGGAACGATAAAAACAATTCTGATAATATGAAAAAACAAAGTTCTTTAACATCCTCAAAAGATCACACCAGTTCACTAGCAATGGATCTAAACCAAGACAAAACCCCTGAATTGCCAAGAAAATAATTCAGAAGGTCCATTATTAAGCTAGTCAATGAGGTGCCAGAGAAAGGTGAAGTCCAACTTAAGGAAATAAAAAACATGATATAAGATATGAAAGGAAAATTTCTCAGTGAAATAGATAAGATAAATCAAAACCAATCACAACTTCTGGAAGTCAAGGACACACTTAGAGAAATGCAAAATGCACTGGAAAGTCTTAGCAATAGAATCAAACAAGCAGAAGAAAGACCTTCAGAGCTCAAAGACAAGGCTTTCAAATCAAATCAATTCATCAAAGAGAAAGAAGAAATAATTTTTAAAAATAAACAAAGCCTCCAGGAAGTTTGGGACTAGGTTAAGCATCCAAACCTAAGAATAATTGGTGTTCCCAAGGAAGAAGAGAAATCTAAAAATCTGGAAAGCAGATTTAAGGGAATAATCAAGGAAAATGTTCCCAGCCTTACTAGAGATCTAGACATCCAAATACAAGAAGCTCAAAGAACACCTGGGAAATTCATCACAAATAGATTATCAGCTAGGCACCTATTCATCAGGTTATTTAAAATCAAGATGAAGGAAAGAATCGTAAGAGCTGTGAGGCAAAAACATCAGCATCAGGTAACATATAAAGGAAAACCTATCAGAATTCCAGCAGATTTGTCAGCAGAAACTCTACAAGCTAGGAGGGATTGAGTTCCTAAATTTAGCCTCCTTAAACAAGAAAGTAATCAGGCAAGAATTTTGTCTCCAGCAAAAATAAGCTTCATAAATGAAGGAAAGATACGGTCTTTTCCAGACAAACAAATGCTGAGAGAATTTGCCACTAACAAGCTGGCACTACAAGAACTGGTAAAAGAGCTTTAAATCTTGAAACAAATCCTCAAGATACACCAAAATGTAACTTCCTTAAAGCATAAATCTCACAGGACCTGTATAACAATAACACACACACACACACACACACACACACACACACACACACACACCCCCCCCAAGGTATTCTGGCAGCTAGCACGATGAATAGAATAATACCTCACATCTCAATACTAACGTTGAATGTAACTGACCTAAATGACCCACTTAAAAGTACATAGAATGGCAGAATGGGTAAGAATTCACAAACCAAGTTTCTGCTGTCTTCAGGAGAGACTCACCTAACACATAAAAGACTCACATAAACTTAAAGTAAAGGAGTAGAAATAGATATTCCACATAAATGGGCACTAGAAGTGAGCAAGAGTAGCTATTCTTACATTAGACAAAACAGACTTTAAAGCAACAGCAGTTTAAAAATACAAAGGGGCACATTATATAATGATAAAAGAACTAGTCCTATAGGAACATATCACAATCTGAAATACATACGCACCTAACACTGAAGCTCCCAAATTTATATATAAAAAAATTACTATAAGACCTAAGAAACGAGATAGACAGCAACTCAATAATAGTGGGGGACTTTAATACTCCACTGACAGTGCTAGACAGGTCATCAAGATAGAAAGTCAGCAAATAAACAATAGACTTAAACTATACCCTAGAAAAAATGAGCTTAACAGATACTTACTGAACATTCTATCCAATGACTATAGAATATACATTCTATTCATCAGCACATGGAACATTGTCCAAGATAGACCATATGATAGGCCACAAAACATGTTTCAGTGAATTTAAGAAAGTGGAAATTATATCAAATACTCTCTCAGACCACAGTGAAAGAAAATTGGAAATTAACAGAAAAAGGAACACCAAAAATCATGCAAATACATGGAAATTATATAACCGTCTCCTAAATCCTAAATGATTGTTGGGTCAACAATGAAATCAAAATGGAAATTTTAAAAAGTTTTGAACTGAATAAAAATAGTGACAAAACTTATCAAAACTTCTGGGATACAGCAAAATAGGTACTAAGAGGAAAGCTCATAGCTTTACATGCCTACATCAAAAAGTCTGAAAGAGCACAAACAGACGACATAAGGTCACATCTTATGGAACTAGAGAAACAAGAACAATCCAAACTCAAAGCCAATTGAAGAAAAGAAATAACAAAGATCAGGGCAGAACTAAGTGAAATTGAAACAACAACAACAAAAAATACAAAATGTAAGTGAAACAAAAATCTGGTTCTTTGAAATGATAAACGAAATTGATAGACCATTAGCAAGCTTAACCAAGAAGAGAGAAGATCAAAATAAGCTCAATTAGAAACTAAATGGGAGATATTACCACTGATACCACAGAAATACAAATGATTATTCGAGGCTACTATAAACATCTTTAAGTGCATAAACTAGAAAATTTAGAAAATTTAGAAAAGGTGATGGATAAATTCCTGGAAATAAACAACCCTTAAACCAAGAATAAATAGAAACTCTGAACAGACCAATAAAAACCAGTGAGACTGAAATGGTAATCTAAAACGGCCAACAACAACAACAACAAAAAAGTCCAGAACCAGACAGATTCATAGCTGAATTCTATCAGGAATTCAAAGAAGAATTGTGACCAATCCTATTGACACTGTTCCACAGGATAGAGAAGGAAGGTATTCCTCCTAAATTTTCTATAGAGCCAGTATCACCCTCAAATCCAAACCAAGAAAGGATATAACAAAAAAAGAAAACTACAGACCAATATCCCTGATGAACATAGAAGCAAAAACCTGCAACCAGATATACTAGCTAACTCAATCTAACAGTAGATCAAAAAGATAATACACCATGATCAAGTGGGTTTCATACCAGGGATGTAGGGATGATTTAACATCCACCAGGCAATAAATGTGATACACCACGAAACAGAATTAAAAACAAAAATCACATGATCATCTCAATAGATGCAGAAAAAGCATTTGACAAAATCAGGCATCATTTTATGATTAAAACCCTCAGTAAAATTGGCATAGAAGAGACACACCTTAAGGTAACAAAAGCCATCTATGGCAAATCCACAGCTAACATTTTATTGAATGAGGAAAAGTTGAAAGCATTCCCCCTGAAAACTGAAACAAGATAAGGATGCCTACTTTCACCACTTCCATTAAACATAGTACTAGAAGTCCTAGCCAGGGCAATCAGAGAGAAAAAAAATCAAAGGCATCCAAATTGGTAAAAAGGAAGCCAAACTGTCACTGGTGATATGATTGTAAACACAGAAAGACCTAAGGACTCATCGAAAAAGCTGCTAGAGCTGGTGAATGAATTCAGCAACGTTTCAGGATACAAAAATCAATGTATAAAATCAGTAGCTCTGCTACACACCAACAGTGACTAAGTGGAGAATCAAATCAAGAACTCAACCCCTTTTACAATAGCTGCAAAAAAATAAAATAATTCTTAGGAATATACCTAACAAAGGAGGTGAAAGACCTCTAAAAGTAAAACTACAAAACACTGCTGAAAGAAATCACAGATGACAGAAACAAATGGAAACACATCCCATGCTCATGACTGGGTAGAATCAATATTGTGAAAATGACCATACTGCCACAAGCAACCTACAAATTCAATGCAATTCCTGTCAAAATACCACCATCATTCTTCACAGAACTAGAAAAAAAATCTTAAAATTCACATGGAACCACGTAAGAGCCTGCATAGCAAAACAATGCTAAGCAAAACAAAAAAATCTGGAGGCATCACATTACCTGACTTCAAACTATACTATAAGGCCATGGTCACTAAAACAGCATGGTACTGGTATAAAAATAGGAACATCGAGCAATAGAACAAAATACAGAACCCAGATATAAAGCCAAATACTTACAGCCAACTGATCTTTGACAAAGCAAACAAAAATATAAAGTGAAGAAAGAATACCCCAGTCAACAAATTGTGCTGGGATAATTGGCAGGTCACATGTAGAAGAACAAAACTGGATCCTCATCTCTCACCTTATATGAAAATCAACTCAAGATGAATCAAAGACTTAAATACAAGACCTAAAATCATAAAAGTTCTAGAAGATAACATCAGAAAAACCATTCTAGACATTGACTTTGGCAAAGACTTCATGACCGAGAACCCGAAAGCAAATACAACAAAAACAAAGATAGGTGGGACTTAATTAAACTTAAAAACTTTTGCACAGCAAAAGAAATAATCAGCAGAGTTAATAGCCAATCCACAGAGTAGCAGAAAATCTTCACAATCTATACATCTGACAAAGTACTAATATTCTGAACCTACAAACAATTCAAACAAATCAGCAAGACAAAAACCAAACAATCTCATCAAAAAATGGGCTAAGGACATGCACAGACAATTCTCAAAAGAAGATACACAAATGGCCAACAAGCATATGAAAAAATGCTCAACATCACTAATTATCAGGGAAATGCAAATCAAAACTGCAACGCGATACCACACCTCACTCCTCCAAGAATGGCCATAATCAAAAAATTAAAAAATAATAAATGTTGATGTGGATATGGTGAAGAGAGAACACTTTTACACTGTTTGAGGGAGTGTACACTACTACAATCACTATGGAAAACAGTGTGGAGATTTCTTAAAGAAATAAAAGTAGATCTCATCTGATCCAGCAATCCCATACTAGGTATACAGCTAGAGAAAAAGAAGTAATTATACGGAAAAGATACTTGCACATGCATGTTTAAGTAGCACAATTTGCAATTGCAAGAATATGGAGCCAGCCCAAATGCCCATCAATCAATGAGTGGCTAAAGGAAATGTGGTATATATATATCATAGAATGCTACCCAGCCATAAAAATGAATGAAATAATGGTATTCACGGCAACCTGGATAGAATTGCACACTACTATGCTAAGTGAAGTAACTCAGGAATGGAAAACCAAATATCAGATGTTCACATTCATAACTGGGAGATATTTTATGAGGATGCAAAAGCATAAGAATGATACAATAGACTTAGGGGACTCAGGAGAAAGTATTAATGGATAAATGACTACACATTGGGTATGGTGCATACTGTCTGGGTGATGGGTGCACCAAAATCTCAGAAATCACCACTGAGAATTTATTCTTGTAACCAAACATCACCTATTTCCCAAAAACCTACTGAAATAACAAAAAATAAATAAATAAAAAATTTAAAAAGGCCTTTAGCCTCTGGAGTCTCTAACCTTGCTCTTCGCCAATAATAAACCACATTTTTCTGATCTTTCTTTTATTCAGAACATGCTCTTAATCTAAGGTGCCAAGTTCTAGAGTCTGAATTCTCATTCCCTTTTGCATTAATTCCTACCAATGGTTAGCTGCTCATCCTTACAAGACCAGGTAGTGGGAAGTGACACAGTTAATGTTAACAACTCCTGTTGTTTTATACAACTTCAGCCTGACCAGATTCCTAGGGCTCCTAAGCCAATTGAGGTCTGTCCTAAATAAGGCCTCTAAACATTTAGAAGGAAGGCTCTCCACTCTGCCTATACCTGGAAGAAATATTCTTATATTTCTGAAAGAAGGAAAATTTCAGATACTACCTATCTTTCTGCTAGAAAAAGTATAATATAAATATGATGATTCCTTGCTCTTAACAGATTGGCTTTAACGAGAATTAACAATCAAATTCTCTGCTAGGCCACTCAATTTTCCTGTTATTATTTTCATTTATCACAAAAATGAAAATGATTCTTACTTATTCCTTTTTTATACGTTCTCACAGTTGAAAATTAATTACATTGTCTTTAAGCCTTAACATGAATATTTACATGTTAAATTTCTCATCTGTATATTTATCATACCTAGTGATCGCAAAATCATTGAATGGAAGCCGATTGCAAGTGCTTTCAATTCAGGTTGAACAATCCTGTAATATGATTAAAGCAAAGAAACAATACATATCATTAAAATATCAAACTGAGTTCATATCAAAACATTTATCAGTATCATTTTTCTTCATAGTAGGATGAGAACTCTTAAGTGAATGGCTCATGTTAAATATAGTTATATTTTCAATTGTTTTAAAAGGCAAACACCTGGGTGGTAATAATTATTTTTATTTCTTATTTATTCTATGCTTTATGATTTCAGGACAGTTTAACAAAATTTTCATATTTGATCCTTATGAAAATCCTATAAAAAAGTGATGAACGGACTTGTTGTGTTTATGAAGAATATGATTTTGTGTGGACTATTTAGTTAAGGTAGTTCTTATGAAAATATTATATGCCCTTACCCAAAAGTAATTCTTAGCAGTCCTCTTTTTGCCATCTTATTTCTATGATCAGTGTTAAGAGAGTAGTTTACTAATATGATTCATAAATTATATAATACAACCAGATGGGTCAAAACACTTTTCTGTATTCTAGTGTCTTGTGTATTTAACTGCCATATTAAAGGTAAAGAGTATACTTGTATCCTCACTTAGAAACTAACTCACTCTTGCATTTCCCCATTTCCATTTTTTTGTGTTCAACAAACTGATTACACTACCAACCCTGTGATAACTTAGTATACACCAAGCGAAATAAAATTATTTTGCATTAGTGGAGGGGGTGGATTGGGATAAGGGAGGGTGACTGTGGCTCAAAACACCCAGTTTTACTGAAATAATAAATTAACTGATGAAAAAGGTGTTTTTTTCTTGAATTCTTGGATGGTTACTCTTTCAGAGAGCTATGAGCTGTCATCAATCAACGAACATTCACTGAGCACCTACTGAGAGATACTACGCTGGTTAACGTTCTTGGGAGTAAATAGACAAATTATGCTTCTTCTCATCTAAGTGACTTGGAGAAGTGTGTCACTTAATTTCTCTTAGCCTTAGTTTCTTTGTTTGCTAAGTGAAGATAATAATGCTTATCTCATGTTATAAGAATCCAATAAAATGAGCTAGAACTCTAAACTTCAATTTCATTTACACATAATCACATCTATACAGAACAGCTTTCTTTTATTGAGATTCTGAAAAGAATTCAACAGGATTTATAAAATTTTAAAAGGCAAAAGTTAAATTAAACATAATATATTAAAAGTTAAATATAAGATAGTTATATATTAGGAGAGACAATAAATGGAAAGTATGTTTTGGTTCTGCTTTCACCAAGTACAGCAGTACTTTGTTAGCCCAGTTGAGGACACAACACCACACTGAAGACAATGAATCCATGTCTGCTATATAAGGAGGAAATTTATTTCATAAAGAGGTGGTCAGGAGAAAATCAGCAGGAAGGGGAGGTTAGCTTTTCTATTAAGATGTTACTCTCAAATATCAGATTTCTCAAAGGAGGTTTGGGGAAGGGAGAGATTGCACTTCACCCCTGGTTGAGCTCTCTGACAATTGCCTGACACGCATTTTTCACTGTAATTCATTTTCAGAAGTTGCACTTTGTATACTATATGCACAAGGCAAACTGACATTTGTTATCAACTTGTATTTTCACCCAGGGAAAGGGTTAGCATGCAGGAGAATTGGGGGACTTGCAGATAGGGTGAATTGTTTCGAAGAGTGGGCCTGAAATCTTCAATTCTGTGGAAATGATGGATATGTGTGATATAGTAACATACATATACAATAACAACCATACACACTCCTACATTTACATGCATGTACACTCACACTACTCCTTGCATGCTCATACTCACATGCTCACTTGCATGCACACACCCATGCACTGTTATCATGAAGGATTATTTTTCACTGTAGAGTGATGCCTGCTTCATATATGATATTGAGCAGCTCTGGATTTTCATGGATATCTTCCAGGATGAACTCATCACAAAAAACACCCCAAGAAGTTAAATGTGTCATTTCATTTAATTATTGATGATTTTTAAAAAAATGTGTGGGGCTTATTTCACTTCCTTTTTATTTTATTTTAGTATTTTTATTTTTAGTTCTGGAGTGCATGCGCAGGATGTGCATCCTGTTTGCAAAACATTGAAGAAAAACTCTAATTTGTATCCTAAAGGAGCCAAATCTTTTCTGGCTGAGCCATTAAAATGTATTTTGTTTTTAAGTTCTAAAACATTACCCTCCTTTGGGTCATTTAAGATTGATGTTTTGTTTGTCATCAGCTTACATCATGCCTCACACCCTTGTCACCAGTAGAATGCCAAGATTTTGAGATCTTCTCTGGGTACCAAGACTCTCATTCCACATGGTTTAATATACATCCCTTAATCCAACTCACTTTTCTACTCTTTTCCCATCACCCAAACCCTTTTATTTTGCCCATGGAAACTCTTGTTTATTACCAGCAAAAATGTTTATTTTTTTTTATTTCATTTTTTTTGAGACAGAGTCTCACTCTGTGGCCCAGGCTGGAGTGCAGTGCTATGACCTCAGCTCGCTACAACCTCCACCTCCTGGGTTCAAGAAATTCTCCTGCCTCAGCCTCCTGAGTAGCTGGGATTACAGGTGCCCACCACCACGCCTAGCTAATTTTTTTTATTTTTATTTTTAGTAGAGATGGGGTTTCACCATGTTGGCCAGGCTGGTTTTGAACTCCTGACCTCAATTGATCCACCCGCCTTGGCTTCCCAAAGTGTTAGAACTACAAGCATGAGCCACTGTGCCTGGCCAACTTCCTACATTCTTTTTAGCTCTTTTACTTTCTTGTTCTAAATGAAGTCTAACTCCCATTAACACTCTTTCCATACAACTCTATCGTTTTCCTTCCACCGCCTCTGTATCAATGGGCCTGAAATGTGGAAGTCCTTATTGATCTTTTGTTTTTACCACTTCCATACCTGAGTCTCTCCTCTGAAAGACCTCTAGATCCTAGGAAGAGGTGCACCACCCTAATATGCTATTCTCTAACCTCCTTGTCGAAGTTAGCTGTAGACTGGCACAGCACAACTCTCACCATTTTTTGACAATTTTCATTCTAGGTTCTCTGTCATTTTCATCAAAATGATTTCTGCTCCTTTTCCTAGTTATTTTAATCTTTGTATAGACTATGCTCCCAATGCTCTGCTCTTCCAGTTTCTTGGCCTTTTCTCTGGAAAGTCGTATTTCTTTCACCCACAATCAGTTCATCAGTACCCACTTTTTAAACTCTCAATTTTGAGCATCCCACTCCTCATAACCACCTCTCAAAGTTTAAAATGACTCCCTTTCATACATCTGCTGCAATATACCTCAACCCCAGCTCTTTAGGCTTATGACTCCTCTGACCTCTTCACAGGCCATCTCTAGTTTCACCTCTTCACGTCCTCTCTCATCATGATGTTTTGTTATAATCAATCCCTTGCATATATCTTGAACATTTTTGTCTATCTCATCCTTTATTGTATTGGACAAGCAAAAATGCTTTTATCTAAACCTCTACCTTCTCTGCACCTATGTACAATGTGCTGCATAGCTGGAGGAAATAATTCAAACATGCTGGTTGGGCTTACTTTAAATTCATAAGCAAAAATATTCAGGAGACCTCCAGTGCAATTGTCCAATATTTTACTAGTCCATTTGCCCAGTCAGTATATTTCTCCAGTCTTCAAGATTACTAGGTAACATTTTCTTATATGAACACTCTTTCTTTTCTTTCTCTTCTTTCTCATCTGATTACATTGCTTTTTTATAACAGAAAAAGTAGAAGCACTTAGAAAAAAGTCTCAATATTCTTCATCACTACAGGTATACATTTACCAGCTTTTTACCCACATAGACAATTTTCCCTTCTACAAAGAAAAACTCTGTGTCTTTGTTAACATCTCTTTTCATCTTCCTCTATAATTACTTTCCCTCTCTTCTGCGTTGTCAGTTTCCTTCATCTGTACTGCTAATTCTCATTCGTATGCAAGCATGGTATTATTTCTAGAACTGAACATAAACAGAACTCTTGATGACATAATCATGCTAGCTACCACATTTTTTCTCTACTTCTTCTTGTAACACTTCTCCTGAAAAGAACTTTCCATACTGACTGTTTGCACTTTCCTTTCTAGCATTTTTTCCTGATCCTCTTCAATATAGCCTTTCACATTCTATGCAGCACACATTATAGTCACATTTTCAAAGGCAGAAAAATCCTGTTAAAACAAAATAAATTCAAAAAAGAGAGAGAGAGCTTATCTAAATGAGGAAGAATCAGATAAACAATTTTGGAAGTATAAAGAAGAAAGAGTGTTACAACCTCTCCAAAGGACCACAGTAACCTCCAGCAGTGGATTCTAAACAAAATAAAATCTTTGATATAGTCGATAAAGAATATGCACCTGTAGTCCCAGCTACTCAGGAGGCTGAGATAGGAGAATCGCTTGAAGCCGGGAGGTGCAGGTTGCAGGGAGCGAGATCATGCCACTGCACTCCAGCCTGGTGACAGAGTGAGACTCCAACTCTAAAAAAAAATATCCAAAATATTGATTCTAAAGAATTCTAAAGAATCCTCCAAGAAATAAGGCCTTTAAGAAATACAGGATTATGTAAAGATTGAGATCCAAAAGTTGAAAGCCATCATAAACACACCAGGAAAATGATGTAGCATAAAAAAGAAAATATAGATTTTATTGAGAAAAACAGACACAACTTCTGAAAATGAAAAATATTTTGATGGAACTGCAAAATAGTTCTGAAAACTTTAACAACAGGCTGAACAAGCAGCATAAATCATTTAAGAGCTAGAAGACAGGTCTTTTAAGTAAACCCAGTAAGACAAATACAGAAAAATAAATTGCAAAACTTAACAAAGCCTTCAAGAACTAGGTTATCATGTAAAGCATCCAAACCTATGAATTATAGCCATTACAAGGGGAGAAGAAGAGAAAGTAAAAAGTGTGGGTAACTTGTTTGAATAAATAACTCAGGAAAACTTCCCTGGTCTTGCTACAGACCTAAACATCCAGATATAAAAATCTCAGATGATT